ACATCAATGGAGGGGCAAAACAAGACAAGAATTTTAACTGTATCTTCTTCCAGTTCTTACCTTGTACTGTCTCCTCACTATTTAGTGCGAATCTCTTATCAAACCTAATAAATAAACTACCTTCCTTGTTTTGTTTCCCATATGTCCCTTTAGCTACTGCTGTAGTAGAATTTCTCATTTCCATTCATAATTTAGTACTTCTAGTTAAGCTGGACATATTCATTAGACACAACAAACTGTGTTTCAAATAATGTAGAAAATTTACTTGTCCTCAGTTTTCATTAAAGAATTAATCACTGTAATGACTAGTAAACAGCCAAGTGTGGGAACAAACTTTTAACTGAATGTAAATATCACATTATTATATATGCCTCTGCAATATTCTTGGGTTGTTTTAATTTTTTAAACCTTTAATAACTTAAGCTTTAAATAAGACAGAAATAATCCAGAAACCTTTTAGTGAAACATAACTGAATTTTCTCCTCACAAAGGATAAGATCTTAAATTCTACTAGCCACAAGACAGCTTACATTCAAGTTTACAATTGGCTTTCTTTTGCTATGAAAGTCAATATAAGATAAGTAGTATTCTCCTGGACATTCAAATGGCCTCTAAAAGTCATCTGCTGGTTGTCTCTATCCAATCACATCTTTGTCATAAGGCTGCTGGGTACAAAGTACTACTCTGATGTCTTAGAAGTCCTCCCCAACTCTCTCCTGCACCAGCAGGTATGGCAATCAGTGTCAATCAACTCAGTGAATGAGCAAATGCTGGTGATGCTGCAGAAATGGGAGAAGAGACTCAACTGAACAGAACTTCCTGATGAAATGGCCTCTTGTGTAGCTAGCAGCCACCTTGACTTACCACCGCCTGTTCAAAGAGTGCTCTCAGCTGCTGTTCAGACTCCCCTGACAATCCAGACACAATCTCAGTAGCAGCAACTTTAAGAATTGGCAGCTCAAGCTCCTGAATATAAACACACAAAAGAATGATGAAATCGCCAAGTTTCAAACTAAATTATTTCCTTCTGACTCAGCCAACAGAAATAAACAAATTTTTCTTCAAGCCCCAATTTCCAAGGAATTGTTAGCTTTATATACTGGCCCAATAAAAAATAAACATATTTTAATCAAGATTCTGTTTTAATATCAGCTTTTTTGGACACAGTGCCTGAGGGTTTTTAATTCTATCATTGGCAAAGGAAAGCTTGAAGATTATTTTCTTTCCCCTGAAAAGCTAGTATAGAACCAAAGAAGTTGTAATCCTTCCCAACTCTAGATTGGGCCAACATATTTTGAAATGTCCTCTGCCTAGGGAACAGAAACTACAGGTGATCTGACACATACCAAAAACTTTTTTTCCCACTTTTAACTGACAAAACAACGGATAGAGGTGAGAGGAGAGAAGCCTCATTACTGGAAAGATGCTATATTTGAAAATGGCAATAAGTAGGGTAATTATGATCATCTTAAAGGTGATTTACCTTAACTACTGCTCTATTAGAAAAAAAAATGTAGTCCTATTCTCCCCAAAATGTCATCCAGAGGAAAAAGCAGTCAGATGACAAGTAAATAGAAATCCTGAAAACTAAACTGGAATGCCATTTCAATTGTCACCCTTATAAATTAACACAAATTCAATCAATTTTAAATTAAGAAAAAGAGAAAAGAGAAACGTTTCTAAATGACAGCTATCCTCCTATCCACCAACACAAAATAAATTAAGGAAGTTCAAAGAGAGAAACAGCAAGCATCAACATTCCTTACCCCAGCAATTGCTTGTGCAAGTAATGTTTTTCCACAACCTGGAGGTCCGTGTAAAAGAAATCCTCTAGGTGGTACTACACCAAGGTAGTGGTATACTTCAGGATGACGCATATGGATAAGCATCTTGCACACTTCCTGTAAAGAGAAAAAGAAATAATACTGGTTTGCAAAGCATTTTACATATATTATCTCATTTGATCAGCACAACTTTTTGAGTTATGCTCTGCAGGTATAAAATTTTTCAGATGCAGTAGGTTAAGTGATTTGCCCATGGTAATACAACAAATAAGGGATCAGAGGTGAGATTCTAACTCCAACCTCACTTGACTTTAAGTTCAATAGTCTTTCTAATATATCATAGTTTCCGCTAAGATGGCCAAAGGGAGAAATACATTTAAGTTGAATTAAATGTCCAATTTTTAAAACAAACAACTTTGTCAAAGTACAACTCAAATGACCATAAATCAAAGGTGCCGTGTTTTATGTAACTTATTTCTTTTGCCTCTCAATAAAGCCAAAAGGCAAAAGGTAAGCTGGTCTACCTCAAGTTTTTATTCACAATGGATACACATTTGACAAAGGCAAAAACACTGTGGTCTGTTTCCTTCTGTCACTAGCAGCATAGCAAGATGAAGTCATACTCTATAGTATAACTAACCTTCAGTGTCACATCATTGCCCCCTACATCTTCAAACTTCACAGTTGGGATCTGTAGCTCTAGTGTTTGAGATCTGGCTGTCAAGCAGAAAAGAAGGGGCATGAAGAATTCAGAGCAAGTCAACAGGAATCCACTTAATAACCTCTACTAAGTAAATTACTACAAATAAGGAAATATTTTCTAGTGTATGCTTCCTTATACTCCCACCCCTACCCTATAAACCTAAAATCATAGGATCCTGCATCTCCCTCTCCCAAGGTAGTTTCCTGAAATTTAAAGCTAAATATGATCTAATGATACACTACTACCACTTACCACCCACATAAATGTAAACTACTCATTAATCTAACCTTTTTTTTGCAAAACATTTTCTATTTCTCCATCTACTTCCTGAAGAGCCTCAGTTTTTCTTTTGGTTCTCTTAAGCCTGTTTTTTCTTTTTCTTTCATTCTCCAGAAGAGAATCATCTTTTGGATCCTAGAGAGACACCAAATGAGATAACACCTGTAAGAGTAGTCAGTTACATGCAGTTTTTAAAATATTTACTTAAACCACCTTTGAAGATACGACAGAAAAAGCCTTAACATCTTTAGAGAAGGGTACTGTCAAGAATTTCACTTGTTCTTGCCTCTCACATTTTTTATCTCAGACATCAAGAGTTCCTGGCTATAGTCAAGTAGACAAGAAGAAAACAAAGCCAGCTAAAATTCAAGCATCCAAATTACTTCAGCACTATTAAACCTCAAAAGAGCTTACCTTCCAGACGTTCCTAACATAGGTACGCTTTCCACGCTTTGCTGACCTCCTTGTTCCTCACCTAGACTCCTTTTGGTTCTTGGTTCACCAACCCAAATCAATTTCAGTCTGAACAAATTCCTGTAATATATGCTACACAGTCTGGACTGACATACTCTGACCCCGTTACGTTCTGGGTCTTGCCATACCTTTCCTCATCCTGGTTACATGCTGCTTTGCTATTTATGCTTCACCTGACAAGTATCATAAAATTCACATGTTCCTACTGAGAAAGGTTTTAAAATAGATTTCTAAATATATCATAACATTGTAGAACCTCCAATCATGGCAAGAAGGTGACCCTTGGTTCTATTATAGCAGAGGATAAGCTCTGGATATTTCTGCCATGCTGGAAACTGACTATCCTCAGCAAGAGACACAGTCTATTTAAAGGAGACCAATCTTGTTATGGGAGAGGCAGGTCATCAGCACCTAGCCACCTGAATAATTCATTTTTTTGGCCATGACTACCTATGAAACTAAGAAAATTGCAAAATGGCCCTAAGTCCTCTACGGCTCCCTTAAAATTCAAGTGACAGTGGCAGCAGGAATGAGGAATCCTACAGTTTTTGGAATTTTGAGGAATTTAGGTGCTTGGTACCCTTAAAAGTGAAATCCTTGTTCAGTCACCAGCAAATGGACATCTTGCTGGAGGAGCTGAATCCTATCAATCCTGACATTCTCACTACAAGTGAATCCTGAAGAAGAAAGGATGTTGCAGTTAAATGAAAGAATGGCACACATGCTGTTTTGAGAAGTAAAGAAAACAAACGGCAGAGTAAGTTTTATCATGTCCAAAAAGCCACATGGAACATGATTTCATGGGATGGATAGCTGGTCCAATGACATGTATTTGCAAGACCAATGAGATGTATTTGCAAAAATATCACCATAAAAATAATTGCAGCTTATATATAAACTTCAGTTGCTGAGCATAAAGATGAAGAGGACTCTACAAAGAACTTGTTGTGTCTTTCCAAATTAAATCGGTATACACTGTAATACTTGATGACTTCAATACAAGGGTGAAAAAATGGTAAAGATAAGAAAAATCCATGGGAAAGGATGATTCAGGAAAGAGAGGCCATCTTTCAGGAAATTATCAAGGAAAACTGCACTGATATTCTAGAACCAGAAGGTAAAATAGAAATTGAAAGCATTCACCAATCACTTCCTAAAAGAGATCCTAAAATGAAAACTTACAATATTATAGCCAAATTCCAGAGTTCTCAGGTCAAGAAGAAAATGTTGCAAGCAGCCAGAAACAATTCAAATATTGTAGAGCCACAGACAGAATAACACAAGATTTAGCAGCTTCTATATTAAAGGATAAAGGGTCTGTCAATATGATAGTCTGGAGGGCAAAAGAACTAGGATTACAACCAAGAATCACCTACCCAGTGAAACTGAATATAATCCTTTGCGGGGGAAAATGGACATTCAATGAAACAGAAGACTCTGAAGCATTCCTGATAAAAAGACCCAAGCTGAACAGAAATTGTGATTTGCAAATACAAAACTCAAGAAAAGCATAAAAAGGTAAATAAGAGAAATCATAAGGGTTTCAATAAAGTTAAATTGTTTATATCCCTACATGAAACAATGATACTTGTAAGTCCTAAAAACTTTCTCATTATTAGGGCAATCAGAAGGAGTATACACATACAGAGGGCATGGGTCTGAGTTGATGAATATGATGAAATGATTATCTAAAAAAAATGAAATTAAAGGGTGAGAAAGAGGAATGCACTGGGAAAAAGGAAAAGGGAGCAGTAGAATGGGGTAAATTCTATTGCATAAAAGAGGCATGAAAGAGCTTTTATAGTGTAGGGGAAGATAGGGGAAGTGAGGGGGAGCAAGTGAACCTTAATCTCATTGGAATTGGCTCAAAGAGGGAATAATATACACACTCAGTTGGGTATAGAAATCTATCCTACCCTTTACCCTGTCTTACCCTACAGGAAAGTAGGAGGGGAAGAGGATAAAGAAAAGGCGGGGGGGGGGGAAAGAGGGAATAGAAAGCAGGGCTGATTGGGGTAGGTAAGAGACAGAAGCAAAAGCCTTTTGAGGTTAGACAGGGTAAAAGGAGAGAGAAAGCAGAATGAAAAGGGGGGAAAATAGGATTGAGGGAAATACACAGTTTGTAATCCTAACTGTGAAAAAATTTTTACATCAAGTTTCTCTGATAAAGACATCACTTCTCAAATATATGGAGAACTGAGTCAAGTTTACAATAAGAGCCATTTCTCAGTTGATAAATGGTCAAAGAATATGAACAGGTAGTTTTCAGGCAAAGTAATCAAAACTATCTATAACTGTATGAAAAAATGCTCTAAATCACGCTTAAAGAAATGCAAATTAAAACAACGATGAGCCCACACCTATCAAATTGGCTAGTATGACCAAAAAAAAAAAAAAAGACAAGTGTTGGAATGATGTGAGAAAATTGAGACACTAGTGCACTACTGGTGAAATTGTTTAAAGAGATGAATAGAATTTTAGAAAAAGTTAGGCATGATAGACCCTGGAAAATACTAAATGGGAATAGAAAGGAGCATACCTATTTCTCCGCTATGGCTTGGTGGGTTCACAAAAACCCACCATGAGTAAGTGCATAAAAATCTCACAAACAAGTATAGAAAAGCAGAAATATTAAAAATATATTTTTCTGACCATAATGCAATAAAAATTACATTCAATAAAGAACCTTTGAATCATATATTAAAAAGTAATTTCAAACCAAATAACTTAAAGAATGAGTGATTCAAAGAACAAATCACAGAAACAATCAATAATTTCATTAAAGATAAAGACAAGAATGAAACAAAATACCAAAATTTGTGAGATGCAGCCAAAGCAACACTTAGGGGAAAATTTATCTCTCTAAAGGCTTACATAAATAAAAGAAAGAGCAGATCAACAAACTGGTCATGCAACTAAAAAAAAATCAGAAAACCAACAAATTTTAAAACTCCAATTAAGCACCAAAATAGAATCCTAAGAAAATTAAAAAAAACAAAACAAAACTCTATTAAGCTAATAAAACCAAGAGCTAGTTTTTAAAAAAACAAAATAAAATATATCATTGGTAAATCTGATTAAAAAGAAAACCAAATTATCACTATCAGAAATGAAAAAGGTGAATTTATAACCCATGAAATAAAAGCAATTATTCAGAGCTATTTTGCCCAATTATATGCCAATAAAACTGACAATCTAAATGTAATGGATGAATAGTCACAAAAATACAAACTACATAAATTAACAGAATACTTAAATAACTCTATCTTAGAAATAGAAAATGAAGAAGCCAGAAATGAACTGCCTAAGAAACTCCCCAGGAACAAATGGTTTTGCAAGTGAATTCTATCAAAAGAACAATTAATTCCAATACCATAGAAACTGTTTGGAAAAAATAAAGAAGAAATCCTACCAAAATCCTTCTATCACAAAAATATGGTCTTGATACCTAAACTAGGGAGAATCAAAGTAGAAAAAGAAAACTACAGGTCTTTTTTTTCTAATGAATACTGATTCAAAAATTTTAAATATAATCCTAGCAAGGAGAGTATCATATCATATATCACAAAGAGAGTATATCTCAAAGATCATACAATATAACCAAGCTGAATTTATACCAGTAATGCAATTTATACAAGTAATGCAATAATTGACCATGTTATTGACCATATTAACAACAAAATCATATGATCACATCAATAGATACAGAAAAAGCTTTTGACAAAAGACAATACTCATTCACATTAAAAACAATAGAAAGCACAGCAATAAACAGAGCTTTTCTTAAAATGATAATTAGTAGCAAACTTAAATAAACTCTAACATTCTTTACTCTGTAATTAAGTTGGATGTCAGGAATTCCAAATCAAAACTATTTGGTTTCAGAAATACTAATTGTGTTGTCTCAGGTTTTTCAAAATTTTCAAACAAATCAAAAAATTTTCCAAATACTTCAGTGGAGGGGGATTTAAATTTAGAAGTGAGAAATTTGGGCTAAACAGATAAAAAGTTAATGTTATTAGAGAGTTGCTTAAGATGCCTAGGATTCTAGCAATTTCTACCTGAGATGGTGACTAATAATATCCTGAAAGTAAGGGCTAAAAGTAGATCAGCTGAGAGACTAGAGACACGAGAAGAAAAGAAAATTCGTAGGGCTAAAGGTCCTACTCTCTTAGGTGAGTTAATTTCCAAATTAGAATAAATGGTACAGATCTGGAACACAAAAGTCTTGAGGAATCAGATCTAAGCCCAAAAAGCTCTGAAGCTTAGATAACCTTGACCAAAATTTATTTACAATCCCAACTTTGAACCAATATTTCTGGGGTCATTTAGAACTGAGCCATTCAGTTCTATTGTCTCACACTCTCAAGCAGGAACCAAAGGAATCTATATGAGTCAGGTCAAGGGAAACTGCTGTGTCTCTCACTAGGATTTCCTTGGACCATTTGGGATACAGGTTCCCAACAGACCAAAAATAGGTCAAACAAATTAAGATATTATTATTCTACATTACAGTAGTCAGTGAACAAGAATTTTTGCAGAGATGCTTGATAGGATCTGCTGTTAACAAGCAAATCACACAATATATAAAAAAAAATTTAAACTCTCTCCTTAATCATACCAGTAACAGTAATGTTAATTACTGGTAACAAAGCCAAAGGAAAGATAAAAGGCATACTTCACTCAATAAAGGTTAGTGATATGTGTCTTTAACATCCTTCTATATGACAGCATTATAAAGAATCAGATAACAGTGATACCTATTCATTCTAGCTATTTTCTCAATACACCCATTCATATGGGGACATCTGGAATTAAAAATTACTATTCTACAAAGCATGTTTTCACAGCTATTTTCCTCATGACTAATCATCAACCAAGTAAAAGACAATCATACCTTTAGAACCTGACCCCCAGATACCCACTAAATTTCAATAGGTTAAAGGAAATATAGCAGAGTCCTATTTCTTTCACACAGCAGAAATGTCTACTTAAAAGAGTATCCACCTAAGGACAATGAGTCAGAAGGCTGCAATAAGCTCCTGGAAAATAAAGTTAAACTATTAAAATGCAAATACCTGTAACTTAGAAACTGGCTTCTTATGGTTGCCGTGCTCATCTGAAAGGTCTAAAAAAGCATTCTCTTTCTTTCCACTTGGGGTTTTGTCAATAAACCATCCACCTTCAGAAACCCTGGTAAAAGTAGGTGTTGTCGAGACATTCTTTGGCACAGAGAGACTATTTTTGCCTTGTTCAACTGCAGGACTTTCTGGTAAAATGTCAGGATTTCCTTTCCGGTACAATGACAGCAGAGAGTTGTTCATGTGATTTGCAGACTGCAAAAAATAGAGTATGTAAATGAATCCACAAACATGTAGGAAAATATGACTGACTATATTAACAAAGGTCTTACACTGGCTTGACATTTCCATTTACATTCAAACATTAAAATAAAATGATTTCACAAACAAGCAGTTTACAATAAAAACTCCCTTACTCACCACTAAGTATCAGTCAACCAAATAAAACTAATGCTTTTCAACTCTAGGAACCACAATAAAGCTCTGACTTCATGTCAGATATAAAGTAAATTATGTTCTCATAACTGAATTAGTAAGAAACATCATTTTTAAAGAACATACTTAAACAACTTAAACTACTCTAACTGAAGTGAGAATATTTTTTTTTAACAGCAAAGTACGTGGCAGCTAGGTGGTGCAGTGGATACAGTACTGGCCCTGAAGTCAGGAGGACCTGAGTTCAAATCTGGCTTCAGACCAACACTTGACACTTACTAGCTGAGTGACCCTGGGCAAGTCACTTAACCCCAACTGCCTAAAAACAAAAACCAGAAAAAAAAGGAAAAAAAAGTAGCATAAAATCAAAGCTTTGATATATTTTGTGGAACTGACAAACAGTCATATAGTCTTATAAAGAAAAGCAGAAAAAAAGAACTGATATAACAAAGATCTCTGAAAACAGTAATTTAAGTTCAAGTAAAAGGATGGTAGTGAAAAAAAACCACTTCACCAATGTTTTTCAAAAACAACAATATTAATATTACATATTATTACTAATAACCCTAGTCACTCTTAGATATAAAGTCCTTTCCTATGTCATTTACTACACATATGTGGGATTTTAGGAAAATGTCTTGAATCTTTCAGGGCTTCAGTTCTTTCACTGGTAAAATGGACTAAATAACTTCTAAGGTCCCCTCCAGCTGTAAACAGATGATCTTTTGGCTAGATCTAATGCAGAGTGCTCCTATAACTTGGGGACTTCAATATATATACTTATGTTCCATTAAAGACCCTACTTTGAAGTCACTCAACTTAATTATGTCCCATTGACCTACTCCTCTACTATACACAGATAAATCAGACTCTTGATCTCAGCATCATAAAAAAGTGATGCATTTCAATGGTCATAAACCCCCAAATTCCTTTCTCTGACCATAATCTCTTATCATTGACTAGGGGACTTCAAAATACATACTGATGTTCCCTCAAATACCTTAACTCCTCAGTTGCTCAATCTACTCATTTCCCATGATCTATTCCTCTACACCAACTCTGCTATATACAAAGACAGTTACACCTCTAATGTTGCCATCACTCACAAGATCTTGATTTCCATATTCATGAACCTGAAATTCCCTTTCTTTGATCATAATCTTTTACCATTCCTTTATTCCTTTCTCCTGACTCTCTAACTTCTTTAGCCACTATGTCACATCAACCTTTTCACCTAAAAAATCCTGACTCTCTAACTTCTTTAGCCACTATGTCACATCAACCTTTTCACCTAAAAAATCCCTATACCTCTAGAACCTCCATTTTAAATCACTTAATAAATGTTTGTTGCCTTGATTTATGATCCCTAAACCTGTTCTTCCTCCATCATCTAAAATCCTTCTTCAATTTAGACCTTTCCTAAGCCATCATCCCTGCAAGTGGCTTTACTCTCTCCCTTCCCTAACAGTTCAACTCTTTTCTAAACTGAAATCCTTTGTCCACTTTTTCTATTGTCCATCACACCTTGCTAAATCCCAGACTTGGAATTGCTCCTGCTATCACATTCCTTCATTCCTATCAACATGCTGCTGAACAAATCTGGAGAAAATAATTAAACCATGCTGACTGGTCCATTAAAATATATATCACATAATCTCAAGTGAGTCTTTCCTCACTAAAAGCAAATCAGCTCTTTTATTTCTAATTGATTCCCTATCTCACTCCCTCCACCACCACCCTACCACTCCCAAGTCCTCTTTCATTTTAACCTTCTTCACGCACTCTAATCTAGCTAGACTGACCTACTTGCTGTTCCGTGAACATGACCTCCTATCTCCCAATTCTGTGCCTTTTCTCTGGATGTTTCTCATGTCTGGAATGTCCTCTCTTTTCATCTCTTCCTCCTAGCTTCTCTGGCTTTCTTCAAGACTCAGCTTAAACCCTACCTTCTGAAGGATGACTCTGTTTATCCCTCCCCACACTAGGAGATTCCCTCTGAAATTACTTCCAATCTACTCCAGATACATCTGACACATACACTGTTACTTGCATGTGGTCTCCCCATCTAGAATGAGTTCCTCAAGGGCAGAGATCATGTTTTTACCTTTCTTTGTAACCCCAGTGCTTAGCACAGTGCTTGACATATAATAAGGGCTTAATAAATCTTTTTGATTGACTCAACAACAATTCATTAAGTGACCATAATATGCAAATTACAATACTAGATCCTGGGATAATAAAAAAAATTCCAGAATTCTAATACAAATAGGGAATACTCAAATACTGCTGCTAGTAACTACGAACTGGTTATCCTTTAAAATTTGCAAAGGAAAATGACAATTTCTATCCTTTAATGGAACCAACCCAGGTCAAATTCTAGGAAGATAATAAATATCCGCATTTTTCAAAGGTTCAAACCAATGGATTTCTCTAGTGTCTTTTGTAATACCTAGATATGTCAAAGTGAGTATGCCATACACAAAAGCTCTTTATGTCTAGTTTGTTTATTAAAAAATCAAAATAAAATAAAATAAAATAAAAATCCCTGGGGCAGCTAGGTGGTGCAGTGGATAAAGCTCTGGCCCTGGAGTCAGGAGGACCTGAGTTCAAAAACGGCCTCACAAACATGATACTTACTGGCTGTGTGACCCTAGGCAAGTCACTTAACCCCAACTGCCTCACACACACAAAAAATTAAAATAAAATAATTTATTAAGCAGTTATTATTGCAAATTTACACTATGTCAGGTGCTAGGGATATAAAGACATAAATCAAATAGTCCCTGACATAAATGAGCATCCATTCTTTCAGGGGAAAAAACCTATATACACACACATTGATACAAAATACATGTGAAATAAAAGGTAATGGAAGAGCAGCTGGAAGGATCAGGAAAGGTCTTATATAGGTGGTGGTATATATCCCTCAAGCTTTGAAGGAAATTAGGGATTCTAATAGGCAGAAATAAAGAGAGAGTGCATTCTAGAGATATAAGACAGCCATCACAAAGGCACAGCAATAAGCTAGTTTGGCTGGACCATAGTGTATGAACGGTAGTTTTGTGGCTGGTTGTTGTTCTTTATGTTCAAAGAGGACCAAAATGACATCACTAGGTCAGGGTCAAGGTACAATGTGTCTGACTATGGCTGATCAGACCAATATAAGCTCAGAAGGCTGTGGTAGACTACAGATTGGGAACAAGCAATCCGCATGAACATTTGGAGTGGAGATGTCTCTAAATTTGTGCATCTCACATTTCTTTTGAGCTACTGCTACTCTGCTTTGCTCACAGTGCCTTCTTTGATGCAGGCACACCCTATCGGACAGTCCTATGCCAACGTCTCTCATGTCTCACAATTGATTCCAAAATTCTTCAGAGAGACCTTGAGGGTGTCCTATAGCTCTTCTTCTGACCTCCATGTGCACACTTGCTTTGTGTGACTTCTCCATAAAAGTCTTTTAGGCAAACATATGCTTGGAATTTGAACAACATGGCTAGCCCATCAGAATTGTACTCTCTGGAGTAGAGTTTGAATGCTTGGCAGTTCAGCTCAACAAAGGACCTCAATGTCTAGTGCCTTATTTTGCCAGGTGATCTTCAGAATCTTCCTAAGACAATTCAAATGGAAACAATTCAGTCTCCTAGCATGATGCTATCCAGGTTACACAGGCATACAACAATGGAGTCAGCACAACTCTGTAGACTTTCAGTATGGTAGGCAGCTTCATACCTCTTTTCTCCAATAATTTCTTTTGGAGCCTCCCAACCTCATCATCTATGTGGACAAACCTGGAAAGTATACTGCCAATGTAACTGAACTTAACCACAGCATTTAAATTTTCTCCATTTTCTGTAACTGATGGTTCCACATGTGGATAGTACAGTGCTGGCTGGTAGAGAACCTGTTTTCTTGGTGTTAACTTTTAAGACCAAAACTAGCACAAGCAGCAGAGAATCAATTCTTGCATCTCAGTCTCAGAGGCTGCATTGAGTGTATAATCATCACAATCATCAAAAAGTCACACACCAACTCTCCTTCCACTTTAGTCTTGGTTTTAGCCTTCTCAAGTTTAATAATTTACCATCAGTGAAGTAGCTGACCTTGATGCCATTTTCCTTCTCATTGAAGGCGTCTGACAACAATGATGAGAGCATCATGCTAAAAAATCATGGGAGCAAGCACAAAGCCCTGCTTCACTACACTGGTGACAGGGAAAGTATTAGAGCATCATCCATTACTCAGAACCCGTGCAAGCATGCCAATATGGAACTGGTATACAATACTGATGACGTTCTTTGGGCAATCAAGTTTTGCCATGGTCTTCCAAGTACAGTTATATATAAAATATGGTTGGAGAGGTAGGGTAGGTTCAGGTTGTAAATGGTTTTACATCCCAAGCAGAGGAATTTGTATTTGATCCTAGAGGTAACAGGGAGCCACAGCAGTTTACTCAGTATCAGACTCATTCTTTAAGAATATCACTTTGAAAGACAGATGAGATAGGGGACAAATTTGAGACCAAGAGTTCAATTAGGGAACTTTACTGCAATAGCCCAGGCAAGAGGTGATAAGAACCTGAACTAGGGTGGTGGCTGTGTAGCTCTTAGAACAAATACTATCATTTAAATACAAAATTAAAGTGTTTAAATTTAAATGGTATCTTTTCCTTAACACTAAGTTCAAAAGGTTGATCTAAATTGTTTTTCAAAAGTCAGCCATGAATATTTTCCTAAGTAATCTGACATGGGTACTAAGACAGCATCCTGCAAATAATATCTGTGGATAATAATGCTTGCCAAGTTCAGTGATTTTTTTTTAAATGTGGTAGCTAAAATATGTGACTCACCTGTTGATCTGGGAAATCTTCCACATCTGAATCATCATCTGTTTTGTTTGCTATATATCTTAAGAAAAGATAGGAAAAGGCAGAATATTTTCAACACAAATTATTGAGAGCTAGGATAACATTCTTGAAAAAACATTTATACAACTAATAAAATTAATATATGAAATGAAATAGCCAGACCAAGAGTCATCAGGTATATCTCTTTTATGAGTATTGTATTCCAAATTAACCAAAAAAGGGAACAATAAAGCAAGAAATAGCAAAAGAAGACTTTTTCTGGAGTTATTAGGTGGTACAGTGGAGCCAGGAAGACCTGAGTTAAAATGTGACCGCAGACATTTTACTAGCTATGTGAACCTGGCAAATCATCTAACTTCTCTGTGCCTCAGTTTCCCCATTTGTAAAATGGGGATAATAACAGCATCTACCTCCCACAATTGTTATGAGGTTCAAGTGAGATAATATTTGCAAAAGCACTCAGCACAGTTCTTGGCCCACACTAGGTGCTATTTAAATGTTAGCTATCATCATCATCCTCACTTTCAAGAATACTGGGTATTATAAACTGATGAAAAGTGAAATCAGCATAACTAGCAGAATAATTTATACAAATACAACAACATTGTAAAGAAAAAAACAACTCTAAAAAGCCTAACTCTGATCGATGCAATGACCAACCAAACCTTTACAAGACCACTGAAGGATAAGTATAAAAGTACATCACTATAAATAACATTACTTGTCAACAGACATAGAGCTAATGGACACAAGGTGCAGAAAGAAACACTGAATTTGGACGAGACAGTTATATGGATTAACTTTGACTGACACTGCCTTATGTGTTACCAGGTTTTTTCCCTCAGTTTTTAATTGAGGAGGCAGAGGCAGTTTGGGTTAACAATTGTGCTACAAATAGAAGAGGACTATCAAAACATTTTTTTAAAAATGCACCAAGGGAAACAGAAGGAAGTTTAGAAGAAAGCACATATAAGCAGAACAGTTTTTGAAGTAATGTGAAATATTATATACTTTTTTAAAGAGGCAAGCACACTAATGGACAGTGAAATCGGATAATTAGTGTAAAAGGAAGAGCCATGAGGGCTTTTATTTCCCAAAACTGGTTCCACATAGAACTTGTTTCCTGCCTCAACCTAGAGCAGTAGGTAACAAGTCCATGAGCAGAAACTGTGTAAGCAAGTCAGCTCAGGCTGAGTGAGAACACTGAAGTCTTCAATTTGAAGTCAGGGAGATTTTTGGCTTGTATGCCATCTAGTATGCTGATGCACTTCACCGTCTTGCTTCTATAACCTAACCTTGGTCCTGGTGGTGAACCTTTCACCTCAAAAATCATTTTGTCAGAGTTAGAAATAGAGCAAACCAAAGCTATCGTCTTCCTCAATCTGCCAAAGCAAAGACAAAGGAACCTGCCCAGGCTTAAAAAGTGAGTCTATCTTATCTTCTTTCTAATCTTTGCATTGTGCCTCAACTAAGTGAAGAATTCTAAATATTCCACCGCAGATAACCTGGGGACTGGGAACTAATCTAAAACGTAGAAGTAATGCTATTTTTCTATTCATTGGTCAACTCAGGAGGTCTCATGGAAAGGGCAAATAGTCTGGGCTCCCCTGACTTCAATATTGGGGATGTTATTTTTTCAAGGACACTTAAAATAAAGCCTACGCATTTTTTTTAAAAGGCAAGTATTATGAAAAGATTAATTTTTTAAAAAATATAATCTTTTTCTGTTCTGCTGTGAATATGAAAATGATCTCTAAATTCAAAATAAAAAATTAATAAATAAAATGACCTCTTTTCTAATACTCACTCATTGAACTCTTGACTTTTTCTTGCTCTTTTTGCCAGGTGTTCATCTTCTAATTCACTTAAGTCTTCAAGTTCTTTCTCTCTCTTGATTATGCTAAAAACTAGAACAAAACAAGTTTCCATTAAATAAGAAATGTTTTCTACAACCATTGTTAGTAGTTCAACATGTATCAGGAAACTCACCTTTTTCTACCTGAATTCTAAAAGCATTTCTCTTCCTCCGGCCATAATCTACACTGAAAGACAATATAAATAAGTTTAGCAGAGTAGATACTGCCAGTCAGTCAACAAGCATTTTTAAATTCTTAATATGTGCCAGGATTACTACGTGCTAAGTGTTAGGAATACAGATATAAGCAGAAAGACAGTCAGTCCCTGCTTTCAAGAACCTGCCAATCTAAAAGAGTAAGACCAAACATAAAAACAAATAGCTGAAAAACTGGGAAGGTTGAGGGGGTAGGGATTAAGGGACTCATCAGGAAGGTATGGTACAGAAAGTCCTGTGAAGAGTCAGGAGTACAGCCTGAAGAGGAATGAAGACATGGGTAGTCTGGACCTCCTTAAAATGGAAGTTCTGACATGAACCAGTCAATCAAAGGGAGAAGCTGCAGGGGTAGAGGGACTTCTAATACAAGAAGTAGTCCAGAGGTGGAATGAGCTTCCTGGTCTTCGATGACAAGATAAACAAAGTTCTGGGGAAATGAGTCAGTAGTGCAACCTGTAGAGGAATGAAGCCTCTTCCCAAATATCAAGACCATATCCAAGAGACTGACCAAAGGGATTTTAAAGTGATAACTCAATTCCACATTTATTAATTAAAATTAAAACATTTACTAAGCACCTAATACATGCTAGGTATTATGCTATGATACACAAACAAGTGCCTTTAAGAAGCTTTCATCTTATAGGGTATTGAGGAGGTTCAAAGTTTACATAAAGAGGATCATTCTGGACTAGCTATGTTTGCAATCTGTTAGGGCAATAAGTTATACCAATAACCATAATCCTTAGGACAGAGTATATCTTAAAGAATAAGAAGTTCAAGGCAAGGGTTTTGTTCCACCACGGTTTGTATTATGCAAACCCCAAAGCACATTCGCTGGAAACAAACTGAAGAGAAGCTTATTTCCTTCGCACCAAAATATATGACTCTGCTTCAAAACTAAGTCAAGAAATCTAAATGATTACTGTAATAGTTTCTTCAGCAAAAGGTAGCAGCAAAAACCACTGAAGTTACAAATCTTTCAAATGTCTAGTTCAACTGTAAGTGATAAAGTTCAGTGGCTCAATTTACCAGTTAAAGGTCCTCTCATTGCTTTGGGGGAAATAATGCCTAAACTAACTAAAATCACATTAGGTTAGCCCTGTTACTTTTTTACTCAATTCATTTAATACAATGCAAAGAGCAAAAACAAATCTCTAAAAAGAGTTTCATGCAGGCCTTAGCTGCAGCTTTATAGAACTCCATTCTCAGATTTGTTTTTAGCTACTAGATACAAATCGTGCTGTGGAAATTAAGATTCTTGGTTAGATCCTCAGCACAACAGAAATCAGCTACTTCTGCGTATCACACTGAAATTGAAATAGGCCATGACTACACTATTCCAACAGTCATTAGGTTTAACTTTCAAGGGTTAGAGAAGGAGTCCAAAGATAACTCCCCTCACCAATTCAACAATCTGACTTGGCCATTATTAAAAGGTGTCTCGGATAATCTAACCTTTTCTTGCCTCAGGCAAAGTCAGGGTTTAGAACAAGGTTTGTAGTAGGAACAATCTGTTTTGCTAACTTTAAGTATAAAATTGCCCTACTATAAATAAAAAGATCACTATCTTTTTAGCTCAGTGTATTGTTTGTTCATGAAACACTATGCACACACAAATCACATGATACTATGATAGCTGGATTAAATAACTTCTAAGATCTCTTCCAACTCAATTATTTCAGGATCAGGTAGGAAAAGCGCTAAGGAAAGCTCTGAAATCAGAGACCAGCCCCTAACAAGATTAAAATCTAAGGACAAAGGCAGTGCAACCTAAAATAAAAACAGTAAATTTCAGTATGTTCGGCTGATTGAGGAAGGCAGAATTTGTTCAACCCTAAGTAAGATCACAGATATAGATCTGGAAGGGACCTCGGAGTCTAAACTCCTCATTTCAGAGATGAGGAAACTGAGGCCCAAAGAGAATAAGTTTTTTGTCCAAGGTTGCATAGATAATAGAAATCATAACATCTAACTTCAGATTCAGCATTTTTCACTATATTATGCTGAACAAGATGCAATGAATTTCAGTGTCTTATGATTCAAAAAGCACTTCAGAATGCATTACTTCAGTAATATCAATGAAGTAATCATTTATTTGGCACCTACTATGTCCGATGCCTTGAATCAGGCATTGAGAATACAAAGACAGGAACAAAACAATTCTTTACATACATAATGTACATACAAAATAAATACAAGGTAACTGGAAAGAGGGAAGGACTAACATCTTAGGGGTGATCAGGTAATCAATGGCCTCCTAATTTCCAAATCTACTGACCTAGGTTCAAAGATCATCCATTTCACCTGTTCTTCAGAAATTAACATTAAACTTCTATTTCTTGATAATCTTTCCAGATTTTCTTTTTTTGTTATTGTTGCTAATTCAGGTTTATTCTTTTGTTTTATTGTTTTACTTTGTTTTACACTAACTACTCCCCCTACCCCCAGGAAAACAAAAAGGAGAGCTGAAGAAAAAGCCCTGAACACCTAACTGCATGGTCCAATAAAACAAATTGGCTTTGTCCAAAAAAGGATGCCTGTCTCTGCATTTTCAGGTTATCATTTCTCTAGAAGTGGCATGTTTCATCATCAGTCCTTTGGACTTGTGGTATCTCATTGCACTGATTTGAAAGATCTAAAATCTTTCAAAGTTCTTTTTCTCTATGTTATTGTTGTGCAAATTGTTCTTAGCTCTATATAATTTGCTCTGTAGCATATTATAGGTCTTTATAGCTTCCTCAAAAACTGTCCATTTCATCATTTCTTGTGAAATAATAATATTCCATTATACTTACACACCACAGTTTGTTTAGCCATTCCCAACTGGAAGGCTCTTCGTGAATTTCCAATGTTTGGCTACCACAAAAAAAGAGCTGCTATAAACGTTTTTATACATGTCTTTTTCCTTTTTCTTTGTTTTTTTGGGGTATAGACCAATTATAGTGGAACATGGGTCACAGGGTACATATGCACAGTTCAGTAACTTTAGGGGAATAGTTCTAAATTGCTTTCTAGAATGAATAAACCAGAGGTTCCCAAACTTATTTGGCCTACAGCCCCTTTTCATAAAAAAAAAAAAAAATCATTCAGTGCCCCACTGGGATTAGGTTAGGTTAACCCTTAGGTTCAACGCCCCTCAACGGCATCCAAGGCTACTACTGCACCCCCACCCCAATAGTCTCAGCGCTCCAGGGAGCGTTATTGTCCATTTTGGAAACCTATGGACTAAACCAATTAACAGCACAACTAAAAGTACACGACCACCCCTGTTTTCCCACTGCCCCTCCATCTCTTGTCATTTTCTTTTTTTTATCATCATACAGTGTGATGAGTGGAACCTCCAAGTGGCTTTAATTTGCATTTCTCTAACTATTAGTGATTTGGAACACTGTTTCCATATGGTTGTTGATAGTTTGGATTTCTTTTTTTTAAAACTGCCTATTCATCTCTTTTAATCTTAGTCTCATATTTTCTGGCTTGTTTTTTTCATTGTTGATGTGAGAAAAATTAATTTGCCTCTCTTTTTAAATCAGATGGGCTATTTGTTTAAAAAACAACAACCTAGATTTATATATCAACTTAATGGTCTTTTATTTTCAATTTTATTAATCTCTTCCTTAATCTTCAAATTTCTACTTTGTTACTTAGTTGGAGAACTTTTATTTGTTGTTCAGATTTTTTTTTTAAAATTGAATGCTCAATTCACTGATTTGCTCTTTACTTGGTTGATTAAAGTATTCCAAAATTAAAAATTTTCCCTTAGAATTGCTTTGGCTGTAATACTTATATCTTGATATGTTGTCTTCTTATTGCCATGTTCTTTTATGTAATCTTTAAATTGTTTTTATAATTTGTTCTTTGATCTCCCAGTTTTTAGAATTATGTTAATCTCCAACTATTTTAACATTCATTAAATTTTCTTTCTTTGTGATCAGTAAATATGTTTGGTATTTCTGCTTCTCAGCATCTTTTGGGGAGGTCTTGAAGTTCCTATAATACGGTCAATTTCTCTCAGGGATCTACCATCTCTAACTTTTCTGAAGTTCGATTCACTTTCCTTGCTTATTTGTTGTTTATCTTTTAGTTAGATTTGTGTAAAGCCAGTACATTAAGGTCCTTTACTATTAAAGTTTTGCTATCTATTTCTCCCTACAATTCAACCAACTTTTTTCAATTGTTTATATGCTCTGTTATTAGACAGTGTGTGTGTGCGTGTATGTGTGAAGTAATGATGTTGATGCATCATTTAAGCAGATTATGCCTCCTTATTTAAGTACTGCTAAAAGGTAATAGGTTTAGCTCCAGTCTTCCTTTTAACTTTGTGAATCTTTGTGTTTCAAGTGTTTCTTGTTAAGTAATGTTATCAGATTCTGCTTTCTACTTCATTCTATCCTCTTCCATTTTATGGAAGAAGATGTGTAATGGTTGCATAAACCTATCACATACCTTGCCATGAAAGTGTGATTTGGTTATGATAGAGTACTTAATTATCAAAACACCTTTTGGAAGTCTTCTTTGCTAAAGGTGGAGAGTAAATGAAAGTTCTTATAGGATTTAGCCCTGGAAGAGACCTTAGAGTTCATCTAGTCCAGTACTGTCAAACTCAAATGAAAACAGGCCATAGCTTTAGAGCTAAAAGGGACCCCCCAAGGCTAGCTCATCTAGTCATCTCATTTAATAGATAAAAATATTGAAACTAAAGCCCTGAATGGTTAAGAGACTTTGCCAAGTTCAGAAAGGGAGTAAGGGACACAATTTAGACTCAAACTCAGGTCTTTTGACCTTTGCATTTGAATCATTTTTACTTCAAATGCAGCACTCTTTCTGTTGTACCAGAGTGCAGTTTTAAATATTAATTGTGTATTTCCCTCTATTCTCTCATTTTGCTAGGAAAATATTTCTTCTACTCCTCTTTTTGTATTTCCAAGAGTTCCTTCTCTGCCTTCCTCGATGATTTCTCTTCATTCTGTCTTCCCTAAATTTGTCCTTGGTCCTTTTCCCTCCTCTCTTTCTCTTCTCCCAACTAGTGAACTCATCCGCTCTAAGGATCTCAATTATCATCTGAGTGATCCTCAACTGGGTTACTTCTGAGGTCAATACTTTCCCTGAGTCATAATATTCTTGCATTTCCAACTGATGCTGGGAATCAGCCACAGACAGCATCACCTCACAATGCAACTTCTCTAAAACTGAACTACCTTCTCCACTTCTAAATTTTCTATTTCTCTTGATGGCAGCACTATTACCTTAATCACTCAGGCTCAAAATCTGAAATATCATTTTCCTAAGTAGCACTCTGGTACAACAGAAAGAGTGCGTTCTGATGGCTGTCTTCAAGGTGTTTATATGAGTGTTGTGAGGTGTAGAGGAAGAGACAGATATGACATGTACACAAGTAAGTATGATACAAGGGGGTTGAGGAAAAAGGAGAAATCCAAAGTGCTATTCTAGAAAAGTTTGAAGAGATTTTTATCTTGGGGGATCAAGGAAGTTGGCACCAAAGTTTTGAAGGGTGAAAAGATATGAAATACAGATAAAAGGAAGAAGTGTATCATAGGCTAGAATTTTTACTTTAACTAAAATGGTTAAGTTGGGAAGGGAAAAGGTTGGAGGTAGTGAATTTGGGAAGGAATCATCTTATACCTGTATTTGTTCAAGTATAAGATGACTGAGGCAGTCTTTGGCTGTGATTGTGGAAAAAGATATATCCAGATCCAGGGCTCTTAAAAAAGCAGCAGCATGAATAAGATGTAGGGATTAAGACCACAGAAAACTCAAGAATGAATGAAGAACTCTGATGAATACAGTGACCATTAACAACTCTGAAGAACCAATGATGATGACGCATGAAGAATGAACAACAACAGCTAGCATTCATACAGAATTTTAAAGTTTACAAAACACTTTATAAATATTATCTCATGTTATTTTCACAATAAATCTGGGAAGTAGGTGCTATTATTATCCTCATTTTACAGATGAGAAAAACTGAGTAAAACAGGTTAAATTTGACTTGTCCAGTTACACCGCTATTAAATGACACTAGAGTTGACAGAGAGGTGATGGCCTTGATAATATTTTCAGACATAGCCTAAGTGTCAATTTGTTTTGTTTGCCTATTTTATTTGTTACAAGTGTTATTTGTTTGTTTGTTTAATTAAAGGAGTGGGAGAAATTTCAGAGCGAAAAAGAGACTACCAATAATGATACCAAAAAAAGAAAAGAAAGAAGGGTCACAGAAGTATTTTCCAATGCATAAATGAGAACAGAAGACAGTTCAGCAAGACCAACAAGCATGGCACCTTTGAAACTAACTGAATTTATTACATGCTTTAAAGCTATATGTAATAATAATGATAACAACAACAACAACTAAAATTTATATAGTTCATACTATGTGCCAAGGGCTGTGCTAAGTACTTCACAAAAATATTTCAATTTCATATATAATCCTTTTTATTGTTCCTTGTATATTAAAATGGCCAGTTTGCTGGTGTTTGTCAAGTTCAGAATAGGATAAAATTACTCAGGAAAAAAAATGACTGAGTTTCTAAGATAGAGAGGCTGATAAAGATAGTGAATGTTGCTACCAACTATAATTTTGTTGGAAAGATGGAGAGCAGATGGAATGATAACCAAGGCAGCTAGGTGGTGCAATGGATAGTGGACTGGGCCTGGAATCAGGAAGACCCAAGTTCAAATCCAGCCTGAGACACTTACCAGTTTAATGAGACCTTGGAAAAGTCACTTAACCACTGCCTGTCTCAGTTTCCTCAATGGTAAAACGGGGCCTAATAACAGCATCTCCCTCACAGGATTGTTGTGAAGATCAAAGGAGTATTATTACTCAGCAGTGTCTGGCACATAGTAGGCGCTATATAAATGCTTACTTCCCTCCTTCCCATGCTAAATTGCTTATTAACTTACCTATACATTTCTTGCAAATTGGATGCTAAGGTACCAACGTCCACATATTTTCCACATTCATTACTGCTCAGGTACTAAACATAAAATTTGAAAAATATAAACGTGATCATCCTCCTTCAATGATTAAAATTTACAAACTGGTTATATGGGATCTTGATCACAATATGGCATAGTATAAAGAGTATCTTACCTGGAATTGAAAGACTCACCTATTGGTGTGACCTTGGTTGGACAAGTTTTTCTTTTCTCCCTTTTCTCCCCTTAATTTTGCTGGTAACACTTTCTTCATTTGCAAAATTCATAGCTTACACTAGCTAACTTTTAAGGCCCCTTTCAACTAAAGATATACATATAATCAGTTCAATATTCTCTCCCTCCCTCTAGCCCCTTTTCCACCCACTAAGAAGGCAAACAATATGATACCCATTATACATGTGAAGTCATTCAAAATATAGTTCCATATTAACCATGTTGCAAAAACAAGCAAGAAAACTTAAATGGAAAAAAAAAGCTTCAATCCACTCAAGAGTTCTCTCTCTCTCTCTCTCTAAACAGCTTTAATAACTAATTCTCTCCTCCCATTCTCTGGTCTTAGAAAATGAGGAGGACTTTCTCCTTGCCAATACCAGACTCTCTACTTGGACTCTCATCCTGTCTCATCTAGCAGCTTGCTCCTTTGATCATTTCTCTCACTGAATTTTCTTATCTTTTTCTTAATATTTTTTGTTTTAACAACAAATTCATTTCCCAACATATCCCTTCCCATTCCTTTACCCAGTGATTCCTTTTAGCAAAGACTTTTCTTAAAAAACAAAACTAACATATTAGTAGTTTCTGATAATATACACTACATTCCATACCCACAGTGCCATGGTGCATAACCTCTGCAATGAAAATGCCAGACCTAGAATCAGGTAGACACGAGTTCAAATTCAGCCTCAGATACTTATTAGCTGTGTGTATTTGGGCAAGTCACTTAACCTGCTTGCCTCAGTTTCCTCATCAGTAAAATGGACATACTAATAGCACCTACCTCCCAGGGTTGTTGTCAGGATCAAATGAGATAATTGTAAAGCGCTTAGCACAATGTTTGTCACATAAACACTATATAAGTTTTAGGCATTATTATTATTAATAATAATTTTCAAGCTCTCCTTATCCTTTCCTACAAATATATCCATATTTCCCCCAAACATTAAAAAATTTTCACTCTTCCCTGCTATCTCCTCAAGCAATTGTCCTGTATTGTTCCTCCTCCTTCACAACAAAATACATGGAAAAGGTTGCCTATATTCCTTGTCTCCACATTTCCATCTCAAATGCATTTTTCACCCCTTGTAATCTGGCGTATTTCCCCACCACTCAACTGAAATGGCTCTCACCAAAGATCATGAATGGCCTTTTATTTACTGTTAAATTCAATGGCTTTTTTTTTTTTAGTCCTCTTCTTTTTTAACCTCTCTGCAAATAATGAGATTTATGTCTTCTAGATACTGTCTCTTCCATGGGTTCTCATGATACTTCCCTCTCCTCAGTAGGGGGGAAAAAGAGATGGTGTTTGAGAAGGAAGAAATCTTTTTCTGTTGAGGGAATCAAGGAGGAGATAAATAACAAGCATTTACTAATCACCTCCTATATGCCAAGCCAGACACTGCACTAGACATAGAGATACAAACACAAAATAGGGATAGTCTCTGTCCTCAAGCTTACATTATACTCCCTAGCGAGGCATTTAAGGACATCAACAATCCAGTTCTAATCTGCCTTTACAACTTCATTTAATATACTTTATATTTCACCAGAAAGAACAACTGGTTTTATCTCATCTCATGAGTTAAAGGAGTTAAGATGTTTAGAGACCAGAGAATACTTAAAAGAGCCCTGACATTCGTCATCAAGTACCTAAAGGGCTGTCAAGTCAAAGAGAGATTAAACTTATTCTACTTTGCGCCATAAAACAGAACAAGAAGCAAAATATGGAAGCAGCAAAGGCAGAGGTTTAGCAGGCTTAAAATTAGGTAATCAAAACTAATGAAAATAGAGCCTCTGGAAGTTGTAAGTTCTCTCTATGTAAAAATAAAGCGAAAAAAAATCTGCACTCAGAGTTCCTTAGTTCTCTCTATACAACCTCTTTAGGTTTTCAACAAAGGTTGGATGACCACAATGAATATGTTGTAGAAAGAATTCTTGTTCAGGTCACTCCTGAAGTACTTTCCAAATATGAGATTCTGTAATCCTGCCTTCTACTCACCATGCCTTCAGATTGGTCAAATTCCTGGAATACATTCCCTTCTCATTTCTGTCTCTTGAAATTAATTCTTTTTTCTCAGATGTTACCTGTCCTATAGTCATCTCCAAACACATATCTGAATTTCCCCATTTCTGTCAAGGCAAATACACTCTTCCAGTTGCACAAGTTCATAATAGTAACTCAATCCTTTATCCAATCAGCTGTTTACTTTTGCAGGTCAAAAGGCATTTATTTAGCACTATGTGCCAGTTACTATAAGAAGTACTGGGGATACAAAGAAAGACAAAAACATGGTCCTTGCCCTCAAGGAGCTTACATTCTAACTGGAGAGACAACATGCAAATAACTATAAATATACAAAATACACACTACGTAAAAAGAATCTCAAAAGGAAGACAGTAGCGGGGGTAGGGCAGAAAAGAGCTCCTAGAGAAGGTAAGATTTCAGCTGAATCTTACTACAGGAAGTCAGGAGGTAGAGAACTGTAGGATTTCCCAGGCACTTAATATAGAAAAAGCAATTCAGAAGACAAGGCATAAGGAAATAGTTGTCATGTGTGAGATTGAATAGTTCACTGTGGTTAGATTAAAGAGTAAATGAAAAGGACTTAAATATAAGGGAACTGAAAAGGTAGGAAGGACCCTGATTGCAAAAGGTTTTAAATGTCAACCAGATTTATATTCAATCCTAGAGATGTAATAGGGAGCCACTGGGGTTTATTGAGTAGGGGAATAACATGATCAAATCTATGCTTTGGGAAAATCATTTTGGCAGTTGAATGGAGGATAAATTGGAAAGGAGAGAGATGAGGTAAGGGAGACAACAAGAAGGCTACTGTAGTGGCTACTATTGTAATTAGAGGGGGTACTACGTGAGTGGAGAGAAGGGGAGGCATACGAAAGACATAAAGGTAGAAATAGCAAGATCTGACAATAAAATGCCTATACCCAGGGAATGCATGTGATAAGTCACTGGTAATACAGAGGTTACTAGTGTGGGTGACCAGGAGGATACTAATACAAATAAAAGGGAAGTCTAGAGGCGAGTGAGAATGAAGGGAAGATAATTAATTCTGATTTGAACTTGTTGGGTTTGAGATCCAATATGAAATGTCCAAAAGACAGTTGGTGATACGGGATTAGAGCTCAGGAGAGAGATTAGGGCTGAATATATAAATCTGGAATTACCTGCATAGAGATAATAGTTGAATCTATAAGATCACCAAGCAAAATAGCATAAAGTGAGAAAAGTAGCTAGCCCAGGACAGAGTCTTGGGAAATATCCACAGATAAGAGGTATAACCTAAAAGAAGACTGACATGGAGAAGTCAAATAGGTAGGAGGGGACCAGGAACCAGGAGAAAGCAAAGTCATGAAAACCTATAAAGAAGAGAATATCCAGGAGGATATGATGACACTTTGTCAAAGGCTATAAAAAGAGGGCAAAAAGGATAAGATTTGGATTTGGTAATTGCTGACTCTGGAGAAGGCAGTTTCATTTGATGAGGTTGTGAGTCAGCCATCAGAGGGTTTAGAAGTAAGTGAGAGAAAAGGAAGTAGAGGCACCTAGTGGTGCCTGGCTTTCTAAAGTTCAGCTGAGAAGTGGAAGAGAAGAATAGGACAAAGTAGGACTGTAGGACTATGCGTTTGTTTTTTTTAAAGCCTAGAGTAGGCATGGGATTATCTACAGGCAGCAGGGAAGGAACCGACACAGAGAGAGAGACTGAAGACTGGAGAAAGAGTGAGGATAACATGTCAGAGAGGTCAGGAGGGGATGGGATGAAGAGTGTATTCAGAGGGGTTCACCTTGCCAAGAGAAGAGACACCTCTTCACCAGCCAAAGGTCAAGAAAGAAATATCGGGAGATGTCAGAGTAATTTGAGAGGATAAGAAGAACAGCAGAGGGAACTTTCGGGAAAGTCAATTTTTTTTTTTTTTGTGAGGTTTGAAGCAAGTAATTGAAATGGAAAGACTGAGAAACTGACAAGAAAGTATCAACACATATGCTGACGTTGCCTAGAATAAGGAGAAAAGTTACAATAGAGAAAAAGACTATGTGAGTCTGTGCCTACAAAACTCACTGAAGAACAAAGGACAATGTCTTGGGGACAGTGTCTGAATTAGACTATAAATATGGATAACGTGACACTCAAAGGAGAGGCCTGAACCAAAGCAGCGGCAGTATCAGAGACAAGGCAACTTATTCAAGACATGTAGAAAAGGTGAAATCAATGGGCCTTGGAAACAGATGGGATATGGGGGGGTGGGTGGAAGACGTTGAGGACTGAGGATGATACCTAGGTTATGAGCCTGAGTGACTGGGGAAAATGGTGGCAATAGTACAGTAACAGAGAAATTAGAAAGAAGGGAGAGTTTGGGGAAAAAGATAATGAGTTCAGTTTTGGACAAGTTGAGATTAAGATGTCTATGGGATACCTAGTTCAAAATGACCAACAGGCAGTTGGAGATAGCAAAGAATCATCAGCATGCAGATGATAATTGAACCCACGGGAGCTCATGAAACCACCAAGGTAGGTCACAGATGTGGAGGGAGAAGAGGGCTCAAGACAGACCCCTGGGAGAGTAGAGAGCCCATAGAGAGTAGGCCTCACCCTGAAAATCTAACAAAGGATGTGCACAAAGAACAGAAGAGAATCAGGAAGGAGAGATCAGGGTCACGAAAAGCCTAGAGAAGAGGGGTATCAAGAAGAAAGTAAACAGTGTTAAAGTTTGGAGAAAGGTCAAGGATCACGACTGAAAAAAAACACAGCAGTTTCAGACGGAGAAATGAGTCAGAGCCAGACATAAGAGTTTAAAAAAAAAAAAAGAGTGAGAGCAAAGGAACTGGAGGTATTCTCAAGGCATCTACAAAATATATCTTAGAAAAAATAGACTAACGTGTTAAGTTCTGGACGTCCCCCATTCTGCACTGAAGCGTCAGAAGGGTTCACTGACCTGCCTGTGGTCAGTGATGGCACGGGGACTCGGACCCCGGTTTCCTGACCCCTAATCTATCGCTCTTCCTGCTCACTCCAGCAGGACCCTAAGTGCATGGGGCACTGCCCGACTTGAGAGCGCACAGGCCCGGCTGCTCACATGTCTGGGTCCGGTTCCGTCCCCGTCAGTACACTGGCCCTGTGGGTGGGAGATGGGGGTGCAGCCTGACAGACCCTCCCCACGTGGTCTTGCTCCTCCCCCTCACCTCGTGACACGGGGATAAGTCCAGTAGGACAAAAAGAAGAAAGCGACGGCTTTCCTCAGGAGGGAGAGGAAGGGGGGGCTGGGGTGTGCGGAGAGACCAGGGGGCCCAAGGTGCATGAGCAGAAGGGCCGCGGGGGGAACGGAGAAGGGCGGGGCTGCTAGGAAGCGAAGGCGGACGGGTCCGCCGACGGGTCATACCTGTTCGATGCGCCTTTTCAGCTTTCGGTCCACGTAAGTCACGACTCGAGGTTTCATGTCTGAAGAATCTCCAGACTGAGACGCCGATGTCTCTAACAGGAAGTTGGGGACCTTGCCTCTGGAGCTGACCTGGAGAATGCCTGATTCACTTGCCGGGCTGCTAGACATGCTGGACCCCACCCACCTGTGACATTCTTCTTCATAATGTGTTTTTATAATGAGAATGATAAAAATGAAATTATCAAGGAAGGAGCGTAAATTTAACACCGTATAGTCATAGTTTCTAATTTTTCCCCGTAAGGCTTTTGCCAGAGCACCCAGAACGTAAGGACCCTTGGGAACGGCTTAAGCCTATTGGTTGCAAAATTGGTAGCAAAGCCGGAAGTTTACTGTTCTGAAAGACACGTGGGGACCTGTGATTCTTCGCGTGCTTTGCTTGGTTACCTGTGCCCTGACTTTGCTTTTCCGAGTGGTGCATCGATGTTAGTTTGTATTTTACGTTTTCGTTATTTATAGCCGTACTTCAGTCACGGACATTTCGCCAATAAAACAAGATACTGATTTAAGGCAACTTAATCCGATAATTCAAGTAAAAAAGAACTTGCTTTTTTTCCTTTATTATTTAGATTATTGAGACAACAAGAGCGATTTTTCTCCTTCCCCTTCCTCTCCCCCTGCATTTATTAGCTTGGGGGTAAAAAAAGGGGATTTATTGAGAACATCCAATTCTTTGTTTCTTTTTATTAAGCTGGAGCCTACTGGATAAAGAACTGGTCTGTAAACGAGGAAGATCTGAGTTCGTGTCACCTGGCACAATATTGACTTTGTGACTTAGTCACTTAGCCACCGTAAGCAGTTTTTTAGATGCAGACCTGAATTGTTTGAGGGAGTTTCCTTATTTGAGAGTTCCTTTTACCAAAGAAATCATGAGTCTGGGCCTTGTCCCCTAGCACAGAATTCTAACTTGGTAATATATATTAAGTAGCAAATTCACTCTTCCACTTTAGAAGAACTATACCAAGTTCAGGATACTCAGGAAATTTCCATCCACTAACAACTCAGGTGCCTCACCCTATATTTACTTTTTCTTTAGTCATCCAGAGAACACAACTAGTCCAAAAGAAAAGTTTTTAATGAAACAGGATAGTAATAAAATTGACAGTAGAACATCCCCTCATAAACCTATAGCATAGCCTTCCATCAATATACATTCTATTAGGAGGCACAGTAAGAACACATAGAGAATACAAATAAGGGACACACAGTTGGGAAACACATGAAGGGACAAATTTAATGTGGCAAAGCTACTTATATATTCTAAAAATGTTAACATACTTTTCTCACTAGGCCTATGCTCAACTGGTTGTGGCATTTACTCCACAGGCCCTTTGTAGTCCTACAAAAGCTACTGGGCAGGTGGTCTCCACTGGCATATTATTTAAATTTTTTTTATTATGAACTTAAATGCCAAAACAAAGGAGTATTCCCATATACACAACAGATCACAAAAGAGTATTCTATGTCACTGTCTATTTCTTAGTTCTTTCTTTTCACTGGCTGCCCTCCACGTCTGGAATGCTATTATGTACTTTCACCTCCTGGCTTCCCTGCGGCTTTCAGGATTTAGCTCAAATTCCACCTTTTCTGAGGCATTTTCTGATCTCTCCCTCCCCAACTCCACTCCACACCCAGTGTCCTCTGAAATTATCTTCTTTTTACATTGTATATATTGTGTTATACATAGTAGTTTACATGTTGTCTTCCCATTCAGAGTGTGAACTCCTGGGAAGGGACCCTGTTTTCGCTTTCTTCACATCCTCAATGTTTAGAATGGTGCCATATAATATGCCCTTCTTGTTATATGCCTATGAAACCTGGACAGTAGCAGCATCGTGCTAGAAAACTGAATTGCTTCCATCTGAATTGTCTTGGGAAGACTCTAAATATCTCTTGGCAGGATAAGATACCAGACACTGAGATCCTTTCTTGACCTAAGCTGCCACGCATTCAAACTCTACTACAGAAAGCACAACTCCAATGGCCTGGCCACATGACCTGAATGCCAAACTTATGTTTGCCTAAAAGACTATTTTATGGAGAACTCACTAGGCAATCATTCACACAGAGATCAGTAGAAGTGGTACAAGGACACTCTCAAGGTCTCTCTTAAGAACTTTGGAATTGATTGTGTGACACAGGAGACACTGGCACAGGACTGCCCATCATGGCATACCCTCATCAGAGAAGGTGCTATGCTCTATGAGCAAGGAAGAATTGAAGTAACTCAAATGAAACTTGAGATGCACAAATTTACAGAATTCACCCCAGATGTTCACATTGAGTATTTGTGCTTGACCTGTGGTAGAACATTCCCAGCTTGTATTGGTATGATCAGCCACAGTCAGGCACACTGTAACTTGACTCTTAAAGTGATGTCATTTTGGTCCTCTTTGAGAATGAAGAACAGCAATGATTAAATGCTTCTTGACCAATTAAATAATATGAATTCACATTTACTTCCAAAATTATCCTGTTCTTTACTTTCTTCTGGACTTCTTTCTGTTCTCTGTATTTAAGAAGTGTTTAAAAGGCCCTTTTAAAAAAAATCACTATTGGTGATTCTCCCTCTCCCTTCACTCCATTAAAAAACCAAGATAGGGAGGGGGAACCCTTATAACAAACAAGCATAGTCACTAGTCAGGTCCTAAAATGTATATTTTCTTCTTATCCTTGTATCTATCTCCTCTGTGTCAGGAGGTGAGTAACATACTTCATCATAGCACCTCTGGAGACATAGTTGTTCACTACATTGATCAGAATTCTTAAGTTTTTCAAAGTTGTTTTCTTTACAATGTCATTTTTCTTGTACAAATTATTCTAGTTCTACTCAATACGCAGTTCGTACTACCCAGGATTTTCTCATATCATCTATAATCTCTCCATTTATTATAGTTCAGTAATATTCCACTGTATTCATAAACTCAACCTGGCAATAAATCAAAATTTGTTCATCCATTTTATGAATTGTCTAAGAAGCAATCTAAAGCACACACACACACACACACACACACACACTCCAGGAATTTCATTATTCTGCAAGGCTACCAGCCTTGGTTCTCAATGTTTCATCACTGAGATGATTGAATTCTCAGAATTCTCTGCCCCTCTCATTGGAGAGTGGAGTGAAGAGTTCCTCTCAAAGTCTCTATTTAAGGAAAGTATCCAGCACAGTGATCCTGTAATTTCTCACTGTACTACACTCCTATGGACTTCAGTTACTTTTTAATTGGTCTCCCTGCCTTTATAATAATAGCCAACATTCATACATTGCTTTGAAGTTTGCAAAGCACCTTCCATATATCTTTTTATTTGATTCTCATAACCTAGTGAAGTAGGTGCTATATACTATCCCATTTTATGAATGAGAGAACTAAGGCTAAGAGAAATTAAATGACTTGTCTAAGGTCACACAATTAGTGAGTGTCTCAGGAAGGACTTGAACTCAGGTCTTTATGATTTGAAGTCTGTCCTCCTGTACTATGCAAAAAGGTCATGAGGAGCCTGACCTAGGGTGGTGGTTGTGTGAACAGAGGGAAAGGAATGGATATGAGAGATGTTGTAGAGGCAGAAACAGTAAGATTTGGCAACTGATTACATAGAGGGCTGGGATAAGGGAAAGTAAGGAGTTAAAAAATGATGCTGAATTTACAAACCTTGGAAATTGAACGAATGATGGTTCCTTCTAAAGAAATAGAAAAGGTTAGACAAAGGGAGGGTTTCAGGGAAAAGATTATGAATTCTATTTTGAATGTGTTGAGCTTGAGATCATTACAACATATTCAGATTGAAACATTCAATAGGCATTAGGTTTTGTGGCACTGGATCTTAGGAGAGATACTGGGACTGGATATAAATATATGCATACTATCTACATAGAGATGATAATTAATTGGGAAATGATGAAGTTACCAAGTGAGAGTGTAGAGAAAGAAGAAAGGATGTCCTGAGATAGTCTTAGGGATGCAACCACAGTTAGAGGGTTTGATATGGAAAATGATCTAGCAGAGAAGACTCAAAAGGGGCAGTTATTCAGGTAGGAGGAGAACCAGGAGAGAACAGTGATGTAAACAACCAAAGAGCAGAAAGTATCTGGGAGGGAAATGTTGAATGGCTAGTTAGCAGCTTTGTAAACCCTGTGTTCCAATAAGGCTTAAGTATTAGCCTCCCAACTGATTGGATTAAGTGATATTACTGGATTCTGTCCTAATTAGTCTATGACTATTAATTGCTTTGTTGTTTATCTTTCTCTTTTCAATTCAATTCAATAAACATTTATTAAGTACTTACTACGTGCCAGGCACTATGCTAAGCTAGGGATACAAATATCCCTAGAAAGACAGTCCTTGCTCTGAAAGAGCTAACAATCAAATTGGGGAAGCCAAGACCCAAAAGGAAGCTGGGAAGCAGTGGGCAGGGTGGGGAGAGAGGAGGAGAGAACACACAGGGGTACCAATTGTTCATTGGAGTTAAAAGCAAGCAGATTTCCTGGTGGAAAGTGGAGAAAGGGAATAAAGTCTCTGTGGGAATAAACTACATGGTCAAGGAGCAGGGAACCTGCGGCTTCGAGGCCACATGTAGCCTTCTAGGTACTACAGTGTGGCCTTTGACTGAGTCCAAGTTTTACAAAGCAAATTATTTTATAGTGGGGGTTTGTTCTATGAAGTTTGGATTCAGTCAAAGGGCTGAACTTGAGGGCCTAGAGAGCCACATGTGACCTCCAGACCCCAGGTTTCCCACCCCTGATCTTGGTCTATATCTCCTACTGAGAAGTCAGGCAACCCAGAGCAATGAACCCAGTACATAAATGCGTGGCTGGGTTTAGAGCAGGAAGGGCTAGGTGCCTTGGGTCCCAGCAGAAATTGCTTTTGGCCTCTATTCTAGATTAGTTAAAATTAGTTAGATTAAGTTAAATCCTGAGTTGAGAGGTAGGAGGGGCGTGTGTGTGTGTGTGTGTGTGTGTGTGTGTGTGTGTGAGACAGAGAGAGAGACAGAGAGACAGAGAAAGAGGGAGAGATAGAAAGAGAGAGAGAG